CTGATTTCTCGTATCCACTCTTTTACCAGGTTATTTAATTTTCCCAAAATTAAAATCCTGTGCTGCACTTCCTCTTCCTCTTCAAAAACTCCAAAGGGCTTCAGAGTCTCAATTAGTGTCTGTGTAAGCAGGCAGTCTCCTTGGGGGCTGCTAAGCTGATAGGAGAGGTTAATGCCATAGTGCTTTTGGCGTGGCTGTGTTTGTTGTGATCCCTGCGTTGCCTTGTAACTGGAAACAGCACAGTCTCCTGCGCCGGCACCGCCCAGTCACACCCCCCCACATCCCCCCAACTCCACCACCCTGGACATCCACTGAGGCGGGAGGGAGGTGGGGGGGGGGAGCTGCCTTAGCCCTGGATCCAACCCCACTCCCGCACTGCTCCTGCCACTTTAAGTGCTTCTCCTCCTTCCCCTACGTCCTAACATGGTGCCCCCAAAATCTCAATCTTATGAGGGTTCCTTGTATGTAACAAGTTGATTTTCTCACTGTTTTTAAGATATGCTCCTTGTTAAGTTTTGACATTTTAATCATAATGAATCTTGGTGGTGGTTTCTTTGTGTTTCTTATTTTGAATTCTCTGTGCTTCCTGAATCTGGATTATCTGTTTCTTCTCCAGGTTAGGGATGTTTTCAGCCATTTTTTCTGCCATTTTTCTCTTCTGGGACTCCATATAATTTGAATAATAGTCTGTTTGATGTCCCATAAGTTCCTTGAGCTATCTTCACTTTTATTTTTTTGATGCTCTGGATGAATTCCACTGTCCTGTCTTAAAGCTCACTGATTCTTTCTTCTGTATCATCTGGTCTATTGAATCCTAGTGTAATTTTCAGTTCAGTTAGTCTGTTCCTCAGCTCTATGACATATTTGTTACTTTGAATAGTTGTATTTTCTTTTTGAAGTTTTTGCTGTGTTTATCCATTCTTTTGAGTTCTGTGAGCATCTTTATCACCATTACTTTGAACTCTATTAGGTAAATTATTTGTTTCATTAAGGTTTTTTTTCCTGAGGTTTTATCTTATTCTCCTGTTTGGAACATATTCCTCTGGTTTCTTCATTTTGTTAGATTTTCTGTCTTGGTTTCCTTTTTTTTTTAAGATTTTATTTTATTTATTTTGACATAGACAGTGAGAGAGGGAACACAAGCAGGGGGGATGGGAGAGGGAGAAGCAGGCTTCCCGCTGAGCAGGGAGCCCGATGCGGGGCTCAATCCCAGGACCCTGGGATCATGACCTGAGCCGAAGGCAGGCACTTAACGACTGAGCCACCCAGGCACCCCTCTGTCTTGGTTTCTATGCATCAGATGAAACAGCTGCCTCTCCCAGGATTGAAGGAAGGGCCTCACGTAGGCACTGAACCTTACTGTTCAACCCTACCCTAGCTTTTGGTTGTCTCTCAAACATTTGTGATAGTCTATGCAGCCAGTTTTATTTTTAAAAGCTCCTAGTAGTTGAGTGTGCCAAGACTGGTCAGTGTACTAGAGGGGAATATCTGAGTTAGTACGTAGATTTAGGCTGAGTGGAAGCCAGACCTTCAGGCAACAGCTTTTAACTTATATATACAGTCCACTAGGACCACAAGCAGAAGCCCCCTGGCCTCCAGGGCCTGGTGATCAGGTGGCACCTCCTACATAGCAGCTGCAGAAACCCCAGGGTATGACATAAAATCCAGGGCAACAGACTTGTGTAAAAGTTCCCCTCCAGGAGATATTGGCGCTCTGGAGTCAGACAGGAAAAGCATGAAGATGACACCTGCTGGTTGGAGTGAGGCGGGGGGTGGGGGGCGGGACTCTAAAGATAGCACCTGTTAGAGGTTCAGGGTAGGCCTAGAGTTTTACTTTTTATTTAATTTTTTTAGAAAGATTTTATTATTATTTAATAGCGAGAGATCACAAGCAAGAGGGGGAAGAGAGGTAGAGGGAGCAGACTCCCCGCTGAGCAGGGACCTTATGCAGGACTTGAACCCAGGACCCTGGGATCATGACCTGAGCCAAAGGCTGCTGCTTAACCGACTAAGCCACCCAGGCGCCCAGGCCTAAAGTTTTAAATGAAGATAGTGCCTGCCAGCCTCAGTTCCCTGGAATAGTATCACAGTAAAGTCCCTAGATATGTGGTAAGTTTGATGCCTGCCCCTTAGGCCTACACTTTATGTGAAAGAAGTTCATTTACTTATATTAATAACTCTGGATACTATTGGCTGCCTCTTTGCTGGGCCCTGGAGCAAGTTAGTCCACACAATAGCCATTTTTTTCTTCCACTATAGCTTTGTGGGTCTCATGGACATGAGCCCTATTGGCTTTCAAAGCTAGATGTTTTGGGAACTCCTCTTTCAAGAGCAGGTCTTAAAAGTTGAGGTGCCCAGTGTAGGGTTCAAACCCGTCATAACTCAGGGAACAGCTCTGGGTTACTTACTTACCTGAAAGCTGCTCACTTACCTAAAATTATTCTTCTTATGAGCTCTTGGTATTTTTTGATACTTTGCTCTTAAGCTTGATGAATCTGGTTCAGTCCCTTCCCTATGTCCAGAAAATTCTGTTGAATTGTATGAATCCTACACATTATTTAAGGGAAAGTGAAAATAATTTAAGATAGTGAAATTATGTGAATTATCACTGGGTGGCTTTAAATAAGAGAATTTAATTGGTCAGGGTCCCAGAATCGAGTAATTCAAGATGGTTTATGTAGAAAGGGACCATTTCCAAAGGACTGGGTGTGAGGGAATCAGAGACAGTTCATGACTTTGGTGCTAGTAGCAGCTAAGCTGATTACCAGAACCTAGAAGGCAAAAGTTGTGTTAAAGGTAACTTTGAGGGGAGCAATTACCTTTGGTAAAGGGACAGAGTCAGCCTCAGGTCAAAACAGGGAATGAGGCGGTGCAATAAATATCCTGACTTCATTCTCTTTCCTCCCTTTAATCTGCCAGTGAACCCTCTTGACTGAAGTTGGAGGACCCCAGGAACCCACTGATAAGGTTCAGACCAGTTTAGTTTGCCAGGGCAGAGAGTCATGGTAGAAAAAGGCATTAAGTGGGTATAGCAAAAGAAAATATCCGGTATTAGAATGATGCAGGCTGGGCAGCCTTACTAGGGATTGGTCCTAGAGCATCTCCAGCCTGGAATAACACACCTAATAAGTGTCCAGGATAAGAGACCAATAACTGGACTGTCAATTTTTTTTTTTAATGTGTAGCACAGACCTTTTTTCATTAGTTAATTGTGTATTTAAAATTTTAATCATGAGTGAAAGAAAACCTTTTGTAAAACTGTTCAACTGGGGGCGCCTGGGTGGCTCAGTTGGTTAAGCAACTGCCTTCGGCTCAGGTCATGATCCTGGAGTCCCGGGATTGAGTCCCACATCGGGCTTCCTGCTCAGCAGGGAGTCTGCTTCTCCCTCTGACCCTCTTCCCTCTCGTGCTTTCTATCTCTCATTCTCTCTCTCAAATAAATAAATAAAATCTTTAAAAAAAAAATGTTCAACTGGTTTCATAGCTGTTACAGCTGAACACCTCTCTAAACATGTAAGAAGGAAATTTCAGAAGTCTTTGAGTAAACTTTTCCAATGTATGTGATTCAGCAATGGTCTGCAGGCAGAAATGGTATATGAGTCATATGATCTAAAAGTACAAAAAACACAACATGACTTTTCATTAGCAACATTTCCCTAAAATTTGGTTCCTAGGAGGGAGATATAAGACATTTTCCCAGCACTTCAGACAACGGAAGGACATTTTCCAGATCCTGTATGTTTATGTACTTTAATTTCAAACCAAGTTATGAAAAAATTTACCGTCTCAAGAGATTTTTTTACATTGTTTTTGATGAAAAATTTGTTACCATTGATACGAAAAATTTTAGACTTTTGCTGAGAAATACCCTTAGATATATACAAGATGATATTATATATGGCTTTTGTATATTCTAAATGAAAACTAGGATAGTCCTGTGAAAAGTTTCTTTTAAAAAGTAGTCATACGTGATGCTAAGAATGAATCATCTGGGGGCACCTGGATGGCTCAGTCCGTTAAGTGTCTGACTCTTGATCTCAGCTAAAGTCTCAGGGTTGTGAGTTCAAGCCCCACATTGGGCTCCATGCTGGACATGGAGCCTACTTAAAGAAAACTGAACCATCTGAAGTGTGCGGCATAGATGACCTAGGCATCTTGCTGAGTAAATAAGCTGGGCATGGGGTCAGGGAGGAGTGCACAGAAACACAAATATCCTATAGCTCTACTTGTGTGAGGAATCTAGGGTGGGGTGGACAAATTCATAGAGATGGAAAGTAGAGAGGTTGCTGGGGGTTGGGAGGGAGGGTGGAATGTGGAGTTACTGCTTAGTGGATGCAGGCTTTCTATTTGGGGTAAGTCAAAGGGTCTGAAATTGTGGAGCACTGTGGGTTTCCTTGGTACAGTGAATGGTTTAATGTAAGATTTAGAACCCTTGTGGACTATTGGTAGTGTAAAATACTGTAGTCACTATAGAAAACATATAGCATTTCCTCAAAAAATTCAAAATATAATTACTCTGTGACCCATGAATTCCCGTTCTGGGTATATACCTGAAAGAAGTGAAAAGTAAGAAGAGATACTTGGACACCAGTGTTCATAGGAACATTAGTCACGATAACTAAAAGGTAGAAGCAATCCAAATGCCCCTTGGCAGATGAATGGATGAACAAAGTGTGGTATACACCTATAATGGCATATATTACTCAGCCTTAAAAAGGGAGGAATTATGACACATGCTATATACAAATAAATGGTTGAACTTCGAGGACATTATGCTAATATGAAACAAGCCTGTCATAGACAAATACTGTATGATTCCACTTATATGAGGTACTTAGAATGGTCAAAATCATAGAAACAGAAAGTAGAATGGTGGTTGCTAGAAGCTGGTAGGGAGAATGGAAAGTTGTTTAATGGGTATAGAATTTGTTTGGAAAAAAATAGTTAATAAATTCTGTTTTACAACAATTAAAAATTAATCCTCTGAAATTTTTCTTTAGATGACTTAAATACAGGAACATTCACCAATGCAGAATCATGCTGTGGAACAGTAATAGAGAGGGAAATTCTAAATTGTTCATCTCCTGAGATTCCTGCAGAATTTAATGAACAGTTTAACACTAAGAAAGACAAAGAGGAACTTACAATAAATCAGGTTAAAGGAGTCAACTTAGAAAAAGAAAACAGTTGGCATAATGATCAGTGTAATGAGTTTGGAAGGACAGAGAAAACACCTATGAAGAAATGTTCTAAAAGGCCTGATTGGAATATAAATAAACCACTCAAAAGGTATATTCCAGCATCAGAAAAGTACCCTAAACAGCTTCAAAAGCAGAGAGAAGAAAAAAAAGTAAGAAGGCAGATGGAACTGCTTAATTTGGTAGAAAGAAATAATCCTGGACATCTCTCTCAAAATAGAGGCACTTCACCAGTTCTTCCTTCATCTCAAGAAACAGAGCCAAGGTTCAGGTGGCATCTAATCAAAAAGGTAAAACTTTATTGTCTTAAAAATATTTTAAAGTATGTATTGGTGTTTCTAGATTGAAAACAGTTACCCACATGGTTATCTTGACAAGGCTGTTCAAGAGTTTAAGAAATAGGCTTTAGTTGGGCGCCTGGGTGGCTCAGTTGGTTAAGCGACTGCCTTCGGCTCAGGTCATGATCCTGGAGTCCCGGGATCGAGTCCCGCATCGGGCTCCCTGCTCGGCAGGGAGTCTGCTTCTCCCTCTGACCCCTCTTCCCTCTCGAGCTATCTCTCATTCTCTCTCAAATAAATAAATAAAATCTTTAAAAAAAAAAAAAAAGAAATAGGCTTTAGTTTATACCGGGGTTGTCAAACGATGGCCTGTGGGCAAATCCATCATGCTGCTGCTTTTGTAAATCAAGTTTTGTAGGAACACAGCCATGCTCATTCTTTTATGAATTGTCTGTATCTGGTTTAGAGTAGCTGGAAGAGACCACCACATGGCCCACAAAGCCAAAAGTGTTTACTATCTGGTCCTGTACAGAAAAACTTGACACTTATACCCTCTATAGATTAATGTTATTCATTGTTCAAATAGCCATTCAAAACTCTTGTTTGTAGTTAACATAGACAGAGGATAATTTTACAAGGTCAGGAATTACTGCACTGGTTCCGTGACTGGAAAAATACAAAATCTCATTCTCCGCTTTTCAAAAATATTTGTGGGGACATATGGCAGTACTGTTACTCCTGTCTGCATTTATCTACCCTTTAGGAAGAAGAGCCTCTGAAAATTAATTCTTTCGGCAAGGAAAGGTATGTTATGGATTGGATTGATTCCATAGCTACTTAGTGCTGTGTGGGACAAAGGAAGTACAAATATTTGCTCAGAATATAGGTAAGATCAAAGCACATATATATATATATGTGTATATATATATGTGTATATATATATATATATATATGAAGTCAGTAACAGGAAAGTGTAGGGACTTAGAGGTGGGAAACAGAGGTTTAAGGGAAATGTGGCTGACATTCTACCTGAAATTTGAAGGCCCAATTTGGACTGGGCCTAAGCATGTAGGTAGGAATGTACGTGAGTTATTGTCTGCAAACTTAGCTAAAATAGTTTTGACTTGGGGCACCTGACTGGCTCAGTCAGTTAAGTGACTGACTCTTGGTTTCATGAGGTCATGGTCATATCGGGGTCATGGGATCGAGTCCCACGTCAGGCTCTGTGCTTAGCACGAGTCTGCTTGGGACTCTCTCCCCCAAATAAATCTTTAAAATCTTAAAACAGTTTTGACTTTCCAGTGATGTCAGCAGTGGAATAGCCCTTCTGCTTTGATTGAGGAGGTTATGAAGAAATGACTAGTAGGGATACTAGTTCATTTAACCAGGAGATTTAGATGGTTAGGAATTTTATTCTGTGCCTTTGTGCATGAACCAGGTGGTTTAGAGTTGTGTCAGAATGTGGCTCTAACAAGAAGTTTGGTTCGCATGGTAAGTAGATTATTGTGAATTATCTGAGCAGAAACATTGGGCTTAAATCAGCCCAGCTAGTGTTGATCCTCACTTTTCCTCTATACTGTATATATCCTTGCCAAGTAAAGTCATCCTATTCTGTTGCCATTTTAGGAAAAGCGTCATAGAACTCACTTCTATTCCTAGTGTTCCTAAAGGTGTTACATTGTAGACTAAATTGAAATGTGATTAAAGAGTAGATATGCTTAATTTAAAATACATAATTTTGCATTAAAGCTTCTTTGTCCTTAATTGTGCTTTTTTGAAAAAAACAGGTCTCAGTCACCACCACCAGTTCCAGTGGTGAAAAGCAGAACGCAACAAACTCAGACACTAAAAAACCGTAATTATGAAAGAGAGAATCTGATCTTAGAAGATAGTCAAACAGAAACATCACCTGGGCTTTCTGAACCATCTCATTTTATCCCCTATGTCCGAACCAGTGAGATTTATTACCTTGATCCAGATGCACCTCTCTCTAGGCCTTTAACCCAGGATCTTCAGTACCAAACTCCACATGGTAGGTGAACAGAAGTATCCCTTTCCCCCAACACTAAATTCACAATCCAAACTAATATTCTTGCCCTTAGTCAGGAGGGGTAGAATTTCTCTTTTGGGGTCTATTACTAAATTTTTTTTTTTTAAGATTTTATTAATTTGACAGAGCAAAAGCAGGAACACAAGCAGGGGGAGCGGGAGAGGGAGAACAGGCTTCCCGCCGAGCAGGGAGCCCGATGTGGGGCTCGATCCCAGGACCCTGGGATCATGACCTGAGCCAAAGGCAGACACTTAACGACGGAGCCACCCAGGTGCCCCCATTACTAAATTTTTAATTTTAGAGATTGTACTTATACCACTTTCTTCTGTCTTCAGACTGTGACCAAGAACACCGGCAGCTATTTGATTCTGATGTCAGAGACCCACTTCTTAATCCTAACTTGGTGAAAAACAGGGATCGACAGCAAGCAATCCTTAAGGGACTATCGGAACTGAGACAGGTAGAAGCTTTTTCACCAAGTTTGGATGTAACTTTTCTGTGTATGTCTAATGGAGGGCTATATATTGGAAGGGCTAATTTACTTTAAAGGCCTAATTGAACACATCCCACTTAAAAAAATTCACTTGTATATTAATCTTAAAAGTTCTTTCCTTCAATTTGATTCACATTGCCATCTTAAAATACTCCAGTATGAAATCATGAGACAATTGTAATATTAAGACAATTTTATTTAATGAAAAACATACATTTGAAAGGGTAAACATGAAATAAACCCTAAAACCCAAGATAGAAAATACAAAATTATGCTTTAATAAATTTAGTAATGCAGTTCACGTTTTTTTTTTTAAATTGAATGTGTTGGCAGTGTTCAGAACAGAATATTGATGCAAGTCCCAAAGAATAATAAAATTTGGTGTGAAAGTATACACATAACCTCCTACCCATCAGACTACATCTCCTCCTCCCAGATCAGTTATTATCATTTCTCGTTAGCTTGCTCAGGCAATAATAAAATCTAGTAACACATTCAATATTTATTTAAGGCTATAACCTTTATCAGCTGGCCTTTAAATACCTATCCCTAATCTTAGGAAAAATAAACTGCCACTTTAGGAGTGCCCTTTTCCATGTCCAGTCATTTACATATGCCTCTTCCATTTCAAATTATCAATTCAAGTGTTGCTTACCCAATTTGTTCACATAGAGCTAGAAAGTCACAATAACAGAATTATATAGAAAGTATCCTTTAGTTCTTTAAATGCTAGCTTTGGTTACATATAGATTATGTAACAAGCAGTAAATATTTCCAATTTTCCTTTAAAGTGACAAGGCACTTTTTTTAATAGAGGTAAAAGTTGTGAGGTCAAGAGGCAGGAATATATACCATGTACATAGTGACCCACCTGTACAGTAGCCACATCTTATTTCAGCAGGGCCTTGTCTAAGCCACTAAGGTTGTTAGTGCAGTCAAGATAAACATTGGATGTTATTTAAGGGAGACTCCTTCAGTGCGTCTCATTACCATTTTAAGAGCCTTTAGGGGATTTCAGAGCCCCATAGTTATTGGAGACTTGGAAAAGTCATCCCTATTGGTTTTTATACTAAAAACATAATCTTACACATATGTAATAGCTACACAATATCCAAGTGAGAAAGTCTGATGTAGGTTTTTTGAGTGGTTAAAATTCAACATGACAACGATAAAGCTATGGCCAAGTAACTGAACTGATTACAGGTTTTCAAAGTAAATATAATTCTGGATTAGCAGGGCTAAAATGTAAAACAGGAATAATTTGCAAGTCTGCTGCACACCTTACTAACAAACATATCAATGTGATTTCAGGGCCTTCTCCAGAAGCAAAGGGAGTTGGAAACTAATCTCATGCCTTTAGCTGCAAATCAAGAAGAAAATTTTAATTCTTCGTTTTAAATGTAGAAAATCAAATCCTTCACATTTGTTGCTTCTGAATTATAAAATGTGTTCATTGCATAACTATTTTCCAAAATTTTAAAAATGCTTATTTAAAACTTGTACATTCTGTGGTACAACGCTGTGTGTGTATATATATTTTTTACAATAAAACAGACATTTTTGTAAAGCTAGTAAAAAAACATTTTTCTGCTCTATTGCAATCTAGGTATTTAAACACTTTCTACTTACCTTAAGACAGGTTTCTGACCTGTTCACAGACCATGTTCTACACTTACGTAGCTTATTATTGAAAAACCACTTAGGTATTTGTTCTATAAAAAGATTTAAGAGGTTAGAACTCTTTAAAGTTCTTCTGAGGGGCCAAAGGAAGGTCTGACTTTAGCTCAGTATTTCTTCTCTATAATTCCTGTTTTTAGGACTCTACAAAAACATTTTACAAGTTTGCATTTCTAATGCAGTTATTAGCGACACGGTTTGAAAATTGATCATATACTTTGTGAATTTTAAGTTATTTTTAGTAAAGCACTTTTTTCACCACCTCAAAAATATACTTAACATTTTTCTAAGACTACGAATTCAAAAATCTATAGCAAAGTTGTCCCAAATTTGTTCAGTGCCTTAAATAAACAGAAGCCTATCTTTTGGAAATATGAAATTGAATTTGGTTAAGTCAAGTCAAGGACCATACTAAGCATTGAAAATTGTAATGATCAAATACCTCAAAAGGTTGACCGAAAATTTTACGAACAGGCAATTTTTACATGGCTAAGCCTAAAGATAAAAATAATGCTGCCTGGCATTAAGTCCTAAGTCTTACATACATAGTTTATCGTCTAAACGGAAACTGCATTCATTGTTAGATAAATCTTGAGGTATTGAGCCAAAATCCTTTATATCTATTGACATCACTGGCTTATACCTGTATAAACACTATACAGAAGCTTAAACAATAGTCGATTTGTATGTCATTTCAGCAAAAGTAGTTGGTATCATCTGACTGGGGGAGCGGCTGGGAGAAAAAGAAAAGCCATTGTTCACTATCCTTTTGCAAATTATCTAATTTTATATATAAAACAGGCTTCAATTTGAAGCCCAAGTACAGGTAACATATATATGTAAAACTTAAAAAGTGCCAACATGAGATAATTCAAGTACAATATATGTTAAAAATATATATATTTATTTCAATTTTCAGATGCTTCAACTGTTACAGGCCATCATGATTTAAATAAGAGGAAAAAAAACATTGAGGAAGGACAAGAAACGTTTTGTTTAGAGAATGAAATATAAATTGTTAATTCACTTATAACAGAAAAAGTTCGTAACAACCTATTTCAAAAAAAAAGCTTACTATAATTATTTCTCTTTTGAAAAGGGCTTGGAAGAATCACTTTTCCCCCAACTTAATGGAGATGGAGATTTAGCTCTATCCAAGCTTTGAGTGTAAGCAGATAAAAAGTAATTTTCACTTTCTTGAGACTGACTTGATGAAAGGGCATATGGTGTCCCCAAAAATGTCTGATGCGTGAGAACATTAAAATGACTAAACTGATGGGACATATTTAATTGACTGTGATAAACCTGAAAGTTGCTATATGAATCTTGTTCAGTTGCACTGCTGTTCTCCCCTTCAGAGCATACTATAGCAACAGAAGCGCTCTCTTCAGAATCAATTTGATAAGTCTTATCTTCTAATAAACTTTTTTGCACGTCAAGAGACGACTGCAACTCAATTTGAATATTCTTATTTTGATCTGTTCCACGTGATCCTTTGGTCTCTTTCGCCAATATTTCTGAATGAAAATTGCTGCATACTTCTATTTGTGAGATTTCATCCCCTGAATCCAGAGACATATCCTCTTCATCCTTTTCATCGTTTTCTAAAAGAGCTACATTTAAAAAACAAAAAGTCCTCCTCTATTGAAATACACAATTTGTTTAAGTTTTAAAATTATACACTACTCACACAATATAATGCGTCAGGGTCTGCAAGTCCACAATCCCTTAAAGCTTGGTCTTCTGCCACAAGTTCACTTAGTCACAACACTCACACTAGGTGTGAATGTCCAGATAATCCGATGCTAAAAGCTTCTGCGAAATGTGTTCACGTTTAATGTTGGGAAATCCCAACTCCCAGCTCCAAAGGGGTTAATGTCAAAACAGCATCTAAAGTTACACGGTAATTCAGTATTTGACAAGACAAATACAAAATAAAAATTTTGACATCTAGCTTCATTGGATTACGACTAAACTGGTTAGTTCTAGCAAATGTTTGATCATCTCTGCTTTTCATCAAAAACAAAGTACGTACATCTTTCATTTAACATAAAACCTGGAACCAAAGCAGAGGCCATCTCACAAAACACTAAAGCTATGGATATATCCCTACTACCTTGTACTTAAATTGCTATATACATCTGGGGAGAGTCTGCAGCCCAATACTAAATTCCCCATTATCTGGTGTCGTCCTTTTTAAAAACAGAACCCCTTTGCTGACAACAGCAGCCGATAAAGTTTATATACCCTCAAAAAGAAAATGCCTACTCTGGTAGTATGTAGCATACTTAACAGTTTGTATTGATTACAGTATAATAAATGAGCAAATTCTGTATATGCTAAGTATAAGAACAGTTAAGTGCCTTGAAACACTTCCCCTGAGGCTGTTTACACGGAGGGCGAGTAGTTTCAAAGCAGGCATTTTGTTCTATGAAAATGACACAAAACCATTCCTCTTTTTCTGTCTGCCTTAAAGAAAAGTAAAACTACTGAAAAGTTACCTGACTGTGACTCAAGATTCTCATTAGCACCAAGCAGTGGAAGGTTTTCTTCTGTGATTGAGTTGTGATAGCCCACAAGATTTTTAAAGTTTTGCATAAAGTCTTCAGTAGTCGCAACCACTATTCCATTATCTGTGTAACTGGAAGGCATCTTGATGTTCTTTTCTAAATGAAAAAAATAAAAAGCTTTGAGTATAAAACATGTGAAAACCTCCATGGAGAGACAGACAACGATGCTGACCCCCGCCCCCATGAAAGTGCTTAACACCCACTAAGGGCAACAAAACACTTCCATCCACATTCCTACATTCATAATAGAAAGCTTAAGGCGGCACTCTTTACCTGTTAGAAAGACTATGTGTCGTTGCTGTATGTTCTGAGCCTGAAGTCTGATAAGGCAATCCAATTCTGGAGCATTTCGAGTTTGTGAATCACAGTTGTGGTATGACAAAATTTCAACCAGATGTTTCTTCTGATAGACATTCAGAAGTGTCAACAGACTTAGAGCTTTAGCATTCAATCTGTGGAAGTAAGTTCAATATCTGGATCTGCATTTCTAAAATTTAGTATGGACGTTTTTGCTTCAAATTAAAACCATAATTTGTCAGTTGAGGCAACCAATGACAATTGCACTGCTTTAGTTCACTGCCTGATGGATGGGTGCTTCCTAGGAGAGAGAGGGGAGCAGGAATTGTGCAACCCACATTTAAGTCCAGGGGCTTTTTATGGGTGCAAAGCCTGAGCCAGCCATTCAGCTTTAGACTAAAATCTCACTGTACTTACTAAATAACAACACTTCCCCCTTTAGCTTTACTAATTCAGAATGTGAACAAAGGGCACAGGACAAAAAAATAAAAATCTTTCCTTCAGAAAAAAATACATGGCTCGAAGCTATTTCTACACCTCCAAGCACAAGGCAACAAGTGGTAGAAATTACTATTGTCAGGAAGATGAGGGTATTAACTTTGTACCAAAGTCACACCTTTGGGCCTCATTATTATCTGTTTACTGTTATCTGTTACACAAAGGTAAAGGCTTTTCCAATGCCTATTTTCATATAATTTGAAGATAAAACAAGTTTTTAAAAAGTGAATTACTACAAAGAGTTAAATACTTTTCAATTATTTAAACCTGAATTTCCCTAAGTGTGTTCCATAGAATTAGAAGGTGTTAGGTATTAGAAGAAAAAATTTTTTCCATCCAAGTTTCAAAAATGCTAGCTGACAAAATGTAAAACAGAATTCTTAACTAAAGAGTCTCCCAGATCCTTAAATATGTAAATACTCTCTATGGGCTCTCTAGTAGTAAGACAGAGTATCCAAAATTCATCTTATTATAGAATCATTTGTGGGGCCTCTCAAGTGGACTAGTAATCCAAGGATCACTGGGCATTTTGCAAATCAACTACTTACATAAATGAATGTCCTAATCACAAATCCCCTTATCATGTCGGGATTAATGTCTCAGTAAGTGTGTAGATAGATTAGCTGCCTAAGGTGTAGTCCTTAACTGGAAGAGAGCCTGATCTAGTTGGCATATATAGTTTGGTAAAAAAATAGTGCTGACTATTCCTTTTTGACGATTATTCTAAACCCTCAAGTGGCAAAGATTAAACCAATTTTACCTATATACTTAATTAGAACTTCAATTTTAGCAAAATTCTACCTAAATAAGAATACTATTTCCAAATAGGCTAGAATAATAAGTACATTCCCCCTTATGACTGGCTAAGGACATCTGTGAAAACTGAGCAACATCCATAATCTATAAACACAGAAAAGCAGAGAAAGAAATTTTATGAACACAATGTTGACATCAACAATGATATATATATTTTTCAAATCTTACCTGCCCAATTCCTTTAGTTTTTTCTGAAATTTACAGTGGACTTTCCATTGCCATTTTCCTTCTGGAGTACTGAGTTCTTCGAGGAATGTCAAAAAATTTTTAAGGTTCTCTGTTAGAGATAATGAAGTTCATCTTAAATTCAATATATAACATTCACTCAACAAATGAATTATGGAAGAAATGTTTGTTGATACTATATAGGAATATCTACTTTCCTATGTAGTATTTTCCCTTCGAAGGGAGACAGACATCTATATATACTCTTAGATTTAAGAACATCTACGTAACAACAACAAAAAAGAACATGCTAACAATAACAAAGCAGAAGGGATCCAAGTGCAATAGGTGCAGAGAGACTTGCTTTACATCAGATTTAGAGGAAATTATTTGCAGTGACTAAGAGATAAGGAAAGAAATTTGAAGTAATAAAAAGAAAATGATGGAAATGTACTTATCCATTCGGCCAGAGATAACAATACATTTAAAAAGCATGCGTCGTTAATGAGAAGAAAAAAACCTAGAAAGGACAAAAAAAAGTTTGTGCTCCAAATAAAGCATAAATCTTACCAATTGTGATAACTTCTGGATTTAGAATGGATTCATCAGACACAATAAAACCTCCAGATACAAATAATTCATTGTATGTATGATTTTTAACATCATCCAGACTATCAACACCAGCAAAACTAACGCAAGACAGCTTCTTTAAAGTCACCAAGCCAGGTACCTATTTAAATCCCAAAACAAAAACAGAAATAAGGATAGGTAAGAGAATGAAATGGTAAGACTCAGGTGTGAAGTAACCTACAAGAAAAGTTTAGCAGAATACAAAAATATTCCCAACATGTCCAAAGACATAAATCAACATTTCTGTACTGGGTACATACCATGAACAGAACACACTGATGAAAAGTCACCTACAACAGACCTGGCATTAGAATGATAAAGGTCAACCTGTCCGACCCTGTGAGTGCAGTCAGAATTCAGAGGAGGGCAAGAGCTCATGCAGTCAGGAAAGCCTTCAAAGGACAGCAGGACTTGACACAGGTTCCTAAGACTGGACGGGGTACCTCCAAATGCAACGGAAAGGGGAAATGGTTTGGCAAAGGGGGTACAAACAGGTTTTACCTGGGACATACAAATGAAGATGACAATAATATAAAGAGAGTCAACAGATCCACTGACATTCAAGGAGTCAATAGTCTTGATGAGTGACAGGGAGGGTCTGTGACGTGCCACAATTTAAAATTTTGCAGAGGTACAAACTTGATCACAAGCTGATTCACAGATTGTTTAGGTCTCAAGCCCTAAATCTCCCAAACTTGAAGTTTTCTCTCTTTTAGACCTTATAAGGATATTTTAAAAACAAACAGCTTTAGCCTCAAAGACAGTAAGATTTTAAAATGAGGGACTTTTTAAAACCAAAATAATACTGAATTTGACTTAAAAGTCTACCTTGTGAATGAAACCTGCAATGTCTTCATTCTGAATAATAATCAATAGTTTATCTAATTTTGATCTTCTTTCCAAAAACTGTTCTGGATGACATTCTGTATTGCCTAATTTGATAAGATATTCCTGTTAAAGAGAAAAACTAAATCAACATTAAAAGGCCTTTTTTGCAAATATCCACTTAACACCAGAAATGCAATATAAACTGGTAAGTAGTCACTCAGTAATGATCACTAATAATGATGACCTTACACTATGGACCTTAGAGATCATCAGGTCCACTCTTCTTATAGAAGAACCTATAGCTCGGAGCTTAAATGGCCATGGTCACAATGTCACAATGCTATGCAATCGAAGCAAAGTAAATGCCAGTGGTGGGTAACAAAAAGAACCATAAGAACAATGAATTAGCCCAGGTTCTTAACCCTCTTCCATTATTTATTCTGGGCAACCCAGAGCCCAATCATTAATGACTCCCTCATCTCATTTTCCTCTCCTTTCAAGGCAAGCCTTTGGTTATTTGCAGCAAGGTTACTGATATAGTACTCCTTCCCTTACAAAGCACTTTTCTGACCACTGGACTCATTTAATTCACAACAATCCCAAAGTCATTCATACGGAGCTTCAGTAGGTACCATGGCATTCACATACTATTTAGCCATGTCTGTCAAGTTCACACCTTCAAATAAAATAGACCCTCCCATCTAATACCTCCCTCCATGTTGGTGACATGGTACTATCAAAGGACACATGGTAGTAGTGCAGGTGGGTTCCGTTGCTCTTTGCTTGCTGGTGGAATCCTGAAGTCTGAAGTAAGATGCAGGGTCCTAGAGGTCATATTCCTCATTTCACAGATACAGGAGATTAATTTTCTCAAGATTGGCAAGGCTGGTTAGACAGCCATTAAATCTAAACCCAGCTTGCCTCACAACCAGTATGCTACTCTATCAAGAACTGTCAACAAGCATCACCCCGAAGAGGATGTTTCTGTGTAGCCCCGAACTAAAGCAGCATCTTCTACATTATTAGATTTTGCTCTAACCTCTAAAGCTTCTGGGGAGATCTCAGAACAGCTTACAGACAGGTAATGAGAAGATAAATTATAGGCCAGCTTGTAATTTTTGGTCTTTTTACATTAAGAAGCTTTAACTGCAAATTCATCTTAAATGAGAACCCTGAACTCTTATAATAATAAATCCACTGGATTCCAGAAATATTCAGGAAGCTTAAAATTTTATTGATAGTATTTTTACTCTATTTTAACAGTTTTGCTGGATATTTTCCAATGGAGATTGATTAAAAGAACTAAAGTTCTGATCTGACCTATCAGATTTGTAAAACACACAGCATCCTTCTTCTACATGAGTAATAAAAATAGGATTTATTCTATGCTAGAATGAATTAAATGCACCAGAAGTCAATACACTTTCTGTAAGTGTGATACAATTAGTTTACAAAATGTGGTGGGGAAGGTGCAAT